AATCACAAACTCTTTCAGTTCAAAGTCTTAATTCTAATTTACGTAAAGACTTTGCACTCACCACTCGGTAACTCTTAACCCTAACAATCGTGGATCAACTTCTTTCCTAAAAAATATATCTATTAGGAGTTAATTTTTCAATATAATGATTAATATGAACAGATATACCATGCAGCATGACTTAAGCTACTATATAAAAATAATAAAAGTCACGTACATCCCATGCGGTTTTTTCCAGAAGCAATTTTTCTAACGCTTACAGAAAAGCCCTATTGTACAGTACTAGATATAACCTCTACATAAAATGGCAGTTACTATAATAAGCACCACCCAGATTCATATTGTAAAATCCAGAGAACAACGTTTCATCACGTGCTTTCCTTATCATCCTATGATTTGTCAAATAGGAGATACAGCAATTGGAATAATTGGTACTGAAATTGACACTTTCGACTAGGATTGGCTAAAAGTTTTACAACTGAGGTTTAACTCGCCCAGACGCAGTTTTATAAAGAAAACAGACTAGAAAAAGGTTTAGATACCAATCATAGATGGCAGATCCAGTGCTGAGGTGAAAGGAAATATCTTAAAAAATTAAAAAAAAAACATTTCTTCTTAGAGGGCGCTTATTTACAGTCTAAAACGTATTTTAGGAATTTTTTCATTAAATTTCTCTTTGAACTTCATTAAAGAATACAAGTTTGTACAAATAATTGAATGCTATGCTACTATTTATAAATATAAAATCAGAAATCCATTAAAAGATTAGTTCTCTATTATTTTTTCAATTTACAAATGCACACTTGCATTGCCTACTAAGAAAGTTAGTACCGGTAGTCATCGGGTTAAAAGCAATAGAAGTTTAAAGTCACAGACCTGTGTTACGAAAGTAATGAATGTGTTAGCCAATAGTTTTAAGTTGTGTCAATGGTATGAGAGGAAATTTAAGTAAGAATGTGTTAAATTTTATTTGTGAGTTAGGCCTATCATCAAACATAGCTTGTAGAACTTGTATGTTACAATCAAATAAATAAATCTTAACCATTAAGTGGTCTATATCACTTTTACTGAATAATTCAAAAAGAACCCACTCAACAATAAAAATCTTAAAACAATACAATTTATCTGTAGTGGGGAGTACAGAAATTCTAAGACTAGAACTTGCCAGCCAGGCGCTAAAGTAGAGGACATTGTACAGCATGTTGACACTTCAGTTGCACTTACCAAGGGACATTCTCTTTTTGTAGGAGCTTAATTTCTTGAAAGTTGTAAATCATGAGAGATGTTTAAAAAGTATAAACTCCTTCAGAGATTTAGTGCTCACTCAGACAAGATGTGGAGATGAATTACTTAGCAAAGTCTCCAACACTATATGAAAGTTTATCAGAGATATGTTTAGAGCAACAAGTGGACTAGTTGGACCCATAGGTTTTTTGGGGAAACTCTAAAGAAATTCATAAAGGAAGTTTAAACTCAATTTGCTTAGTGGTGAGTGAACTTTGGAATAAATAAATTGATAGGATAGTTAGTGTGATGAGGTGATTGGAAAACATTTAGACTTTAAGGGCAGTAAGTATTTTGCTTGGCAGTTGTTATAAGCCTCTTGATCAAAAAGAGGAGATAAATGAGAAATTATATAATGAGTTCAGAGTTGCTACTAAAGGAATATTGATGCAATAATTACGAGTGACTATAATTTTAGGCAAATTTTTTGGGGATTGCATGAAGTCAAATAGTGAGGGAGAGAGACTTCTTGAAGTTAATTAGAGGGGGTATGCAATTTTAGATTTATTGTTGAGCAATGATGAGAATATAACTGCAAAAACTGAAGTAGGGAACATTTGTTGAAGAGTGATCATTGCATAATTACATTTGATACTTTTCTATGATTGATATTTCAAGATAAAAGGGAAATTTTTAGTTCCTGATTTTCAGAGAGCCTATTTTGATGTCATGAGACAAGATTTATCGTAAGTGAACTTGGATAATCAGTTAAAAGGTGATGTCAGACAGATCTGGTAAATTTCTAAAAAATAACTTTAATTTACAACAGGTATGTTCCCAAAAAAAGAAGAAAAGGATAGCAGGAAAGATCTAACCTATTTGGCTTACTAAAGACATAAATAAGAAAAAATTAAGGATAAAAATGTTGTAAGTTTAGTAAGAGGTTTCAACTGACAGAGCTTTAATATGTTTTCTTCTATTCTTTTCTTTTTTTTTCAAGAATGGATAATAGCAATATTCATAACTCTGACCATTTTTTTGGAAATATTTGGATTTACCTTAATGATGTAGATATTAATTTTTTCTTGGTAAAAACATTGAAAATAAAGTTCCAGACAATGTTTTTCCAAAGTTTTAAAGGAGGTCAAAGATTAGATATGCAAGCCTCTAACTTTCATTTTTGATAGATCAATAGACAGTGGGGTGGGGTGACTGAGGAAGTGCTAATGTTACTACTATTTTTAAAGAGGATGAAATTAAAAACAGTAAGCCACACCTCTATAATGTGAAAAATCCTAGATCTCACACTAGCACACTTTCAGCTGCATATATATATATATATTGTGCTTGTGGACTAAACCACAAAAAAATCACTATTTATATCCAGTGCAACACCACTGACAAAAAAATCTGTGAGAGTTCTAACACTATATCAGATTTTATGCAAATTTGTTATCTATGACTTGGAAATAAAATCAAAATAAACATAGTAGTATTTAACAAAAAAATTATGTTCATAGGTATTTTTTATGTTGGTTTTTGAATATTTTTGTTTAGCATGTTTATACACATATATCCATTCATTACTTAAGGTATTTTCCTATGAGAAAAAAAAACCCTCAACATTTTTAACCTTTATCACTAACGTTGCCCTTTTGCTGCAGTACATATATTTCTTTTTGTGTTAATTTTGCAGAGTTAAAACATTTATAGCTTTATATTTCAATTTTTAAGGTATTAGTGTTTGATATTTTAAAAGGTACATTTTAATCTTGAATAGCCTCATTATTTTATTCTTCTCCATGTTGCTTATAGGTTTGGAATGTGGATAACAGAGGAAATATTATGTTTGCACAGAAAGTTGAATTTATACAGTCTGAAGTAATCTAGCAAAAATGAAAAGCTCTCTCAGTCTTTACAAAACGTAAAACAATATGGGTATGATATGGAGCTGTTTTTTTGTCAACTGTGGCCAAAGATGTTCAACAGGACCTGTAACCTATGTTTTTAAATGTCATCATGCAGAACTTTTGCTTAATCCTCTTCAAGAATGCAGGAAGAGATGTACAAGTGGAGCTGATGTTACAAATCAAATGAACAACCATGTTCAGGTGGTCAATGCTACTTTTGTTAACATTAGCATATCTGGTCAGTAAAATGCTGCTTTCAGTGTCATTGTACTGAATCCTTTAATAAATCCAGTTATTTCTTCATCATCACCTTTCATAGCATCATGTTCAAGACACAATGATGCTTACAGTAGCAACCAAACTACCATAAGACAATGATTTTTAGAAAGATGGTCTAAAAGAACTGAACAGTTAGGTTGCCCTATTCACCACTGTAGTATATATTCATGTACAGCATTTTCAATTCCATCTTCATATCATACAAATGAAGTAATGTTTGTTCTTTGCTGTCATCATCCAAGGCTCTCTCTGTCTGAAGTAGTCAGCCACCCTTATTTCAATTCTTTTTTTTAATTTAAGTAGCATTCTTATATGAATGAAGCTGTGGAATCCCTTGATAGCACTGGTTGCAATTGTTTAAGCAGAATATGTAGTTGTAATCCTTGTTAACATGAGGGTAGCCAACATCTCAGATGTATATGTCACCAATGTACATATACCAAATACACATGTGAGAATAGAAAGACTTCAGACATACATGTCACTGATGTAAATACCAATTCCAAAACATACTTACCTCCTCTCACACCACAGTTATTACTTGAATGCTAGTTTCTTTTCATTTGCCCATCTAAAGGGTGGACGTGCAGCATTACAAGATGGACACAATCAGCAGCAGAATTCATATTCTGAATGTTATTTTCCATTCTAAATGAATCAGAAGAACCAAACTCTGCTGTGAGATCATTCTTTATACCATTACATTACCCCAGCAACATGTATTGTCTAAACAACAATTACACAAGTAGTGTGAAATTTCCCATTTGGTTTTCTCCATATTTTTATTCTACTGTGAATATAAAAAATGGTAAAACATAATTAATCAGACCACATCACCTCTAAGTTGCCACTGTTGATAGGTTCTAATGACATTTTTTTGGACAGCTGGTCAAAAAAATAGTTTTGAAATAAGACACTCCTGTTATGTATTCTTTTGAAAGTCAAAAAGGTCTTTGCCTTCAGCATTGCCTTACTAACTTATTATGATGACTACATATCCACATTTTTAGGGCTCAAGCAGTCACGTAACACATCACATAATTATCCTATTCAAGAGTTTGTTCAAGTATACAAATTCTAATAAAGTGGGCATTTATTGTATGATTCCAAAATTTTTAATACTGGCAATTATTTCTATTTATCTGATGGGTAGTTTTCATTCATATTAAACACTGATATTTAATGGGTTTTCAAACAGATTTACCTGAGATAAAGAGTTGACTCGGAGAATTACAGAAATAGTGAGAACTAAAAACTTTATGATTTGTTGGTCAAAATGAATTACCACAAGGCCATTTTTTAAGTTTAATAATCTAACAGAACAACTTTCCAAAGTTTCATTCTTTCAACCTATTAAACTTAAAGCAAGTAAAATATCTCAAAATAATCAGCTTTCAACCTTGCTTACTTTCAACCTTACTACATGCAGATAAATATTAAAACAGTAGAAGTTAGTGAATTTCAATACTACTGAGTCTATATCACTATTAGTATTACTAGTAGTGATATATGCTGGTTGTACTGGAAGTTCTAAGTAGTAACATTAAATGGTTTAGATGATACTACTACTATGAATATAAAAGAAATTATAAAACTGAATATTATATATAAAAATCAAGATTTCATTTGATTTGAATTTAACACCATAACACTGTAGAGACTTTACTTGGCAGCCAGTATTATTATTTAGATATTGCATGTTAGCACACAGTTGCATAATGTGGTATTTAATACACATATATAAATTTGTTTAATATTTATTTTCCGTATACATGTACATATTTATGTCTCATAAGCAGGTACTGATCGTGTGAAAGTTTTGTGACTGTGAGTCATGAAGATAATATCAGATCATTCAGAAAAGACATGCCTTAAATAATGTTAGTAAGCAGCAGACTGAACTTAACTGTAATACTCAGCCAGCTAAAGCTATTGATAAAACAAAGTCAGATATATATAGTATTCCTTCACATGTCACGTGAATGAGTAGCCTAGCAATTTCTTGTGTTTCCTCCACTTCTTTGTTAATTAGTCCCTTTTAGATAAAAAATGAGAAATGTTTAACTTAACCCCTTTTTCTTTAGTAAGTCTTCAGTTAAAAACCCTTTATCTGCCATAATGCTGTCACCAGCTTTCAAAAGCTGAACAATTCTAGACTGTTTTGAAATCTCTGTCAGAAATGGATCTGGCATAAAGTGAAGAAACAAATGTTATTCATTCAGATGGTAAAATGCCAACAACAGTTTAAAAATTGTCGTTCTCTTGTATTGTTAATAAAATTCAGAGTTCAGACTGAATGCTGAGTAGTCTGAATTTTCAATTCTGTATAGTCTAAAATTGAATCATTCTGGCAACTAGGCCAAAATGGAAGTGGACCTAGCTGGAAGTAAATGCAGTTAATCCATGTTATCATAATCCTGCTGACAGTGGATTGTGAAACATTGAATCAGTATACCACATCCTGCTAAAACAGGCCTAGTCTGATTTTTTACAAGAAAAAAGAAAGAGCTGGTCAACTAATGGAAAGTTTTCCTGTCTAATACCAAATCTGTATTAATGTTTTCACACTGTCCAACTCTTGTCTTTGAATCTGAGACCACATTGTCATTTTCTCAGCTGTTAGTTTTAGTAAGTAATGCATATGATGTAAATCCTGTGTAAAATGGTATTAATTTTGCATCACTCAAGAACCTCTGCAGACCAAGTCTAGACAGAGTCAGTTGTCCTACTTGTTTCTCGAGCATTTCAATATACTTGGTAGCTTCACATAATTTCTCTTCAGATATTTTCTGTTCTATTGGAGCAAGACAGTAATGATAGACTACAGTCGGTTTTTCCACATCTGACCTTTTCTTTCTTCTACACAATTAAAAATGGAGAATAATTTATTTTAAATCTAATTCTTTGCAAATCGCTTTGAACAGTGTAGAAATATTTTTTGACCATTTTAATTTTAAACTTTATTAAACCATCATATTTAGATTATATATCATAGAATGAGATAAAATATACATTATTCATGTAATCAATTACGTTGCGCATTATTTATGAAAATGATAGAATAACTAAACGTTGCACTGTGTAAATTATATCAAAAACAGAAAATAATGTTGATAACCAATAAACTATCAATATTTAAATCAGAACATTTTATTTAGCTAAAATATGCATTATTTAAGGAAGTAGTATTTAACAAGACTTTGCGTTAATGTATAATTATGAAGCTATGGCACAAAACAATAATCCCAATGGCCCGAGAGCTATAGGATCAGGATGCACATCATCCTAATTCTACCCACGTGTATTCTTAGTATCTAATGGTATATTTTATCTAAACTATAATCTGTCTATCAGTAAGAAATGCAGTTACTGATTTCATGTAGCTTTCTTTCAGGATTTTAAAGCAAGTGGCATAATATTAAAACTACTGGTTACGTTGATAATTAAGCTGAATAATTTCATATATCATATTTACCTCTTATTGGTAGAATAAATTTATCTGTATTAAGTATTTGTATTACGAGAAACTTCTATTGATATGAGCTTCAGATGCCATATAATACATTTTTATATTTAATATATTAGTTATTCAAATTTCTTAAATAATTAAAGCCATAAAATGCGCACTTAAAAAAAATGGATAGAGCATAGAAAAAGAAAACAAAATTTACACAAAGGCATCGGTGGGATTCGAACCCACGATCTCCTGTTTACTAGACAGGCGCTTTAACCAACTAAGCCACGACGCCCGCGATAAAAATGTTTTCTTAAAGTTTTATGCTTAGGTCAAACAGTGGTTATTTGATATTTTATTCTTATTTATAGATACTTTTTAAATGTTTTTAATGTTATTTCAAGACCATGAACTGTTAACTGAATGTAATCGCTAAGAAAACCCTTGACAACAACATGAATAAGTGTGTCGAAAGGAAAGCTATATCATTATTGTCGCTCTTTCTAAATGTAATAGGTTACTACTATAGGAGGTGATGACTAGCTACCTCTCTTCTAATCTTACACTGCTAAATTAGGGACGGCTATTGCAGATGGCCCTCGTGTAGCTTTGCGCGAAATTCAAACCAAACCTGTCCGGGCCAAAAGTTACATAATTGATTCGGTTTGTTTAAGGCGAAGAGTGAAGACCTAAAAACAATTCCTGAATAATACCTAACGGTTTTTAACGGTTTTTATTTGAAAAACTCAATTATCTCTCCAGGCTCGTTTCCCAAATTTCAAAATAAAAGAAAATCAACGAAGAAACATCACCGTAGCGGTTCTGAAGACCTCGCATACACGGAGGGAGACCTCTTTTACCGACCTACCATGAATAACGACCAGGTTAGTTGGTTTTTTAGTGATGTTTGAGATTATGCGTTCGACTTTATTTACTTTAATTTGTTGTGTTTGTAATGTGTCTTGTATGTCTTCCGTACTAATGGAAAAGTGCACTCCCCTGATCACGAATGACCTGGGTTGTGCCCTTGCTCCCGGAAGTTGTATTGTAATTGTGTCCGTGTTGAATGCATTTTCTGGCCATGACTGTAATAACTTGTTCAGGTCAGCGGGTTCTTGTCCTCGAACGAGAACACCGCCCCTGGGTAGACGTTTTATGTGTGTGATCTGTGCTTTCGGTTTGCACCGATTAATTTCTTTAGCTAATTGTGGTTGGTTGTAATGTCCAGGGATTCCCTGAATGATTATAGCATAAGAAGGTTTTTGATTGTCTGTGTTTTGTTGTTGTTCAATTCTTGTTCCGCCTTGTACTAGTTTTTCACTTTGTTTTTGTTTTTTTGATTTAACTAGGGTAAAACCCTGTTCATCAGTATTTGGTGTTTGTGTTTCGTTTAATGTCGTGTTCAGTGTTTGTTCAGCATCCAAGGTGCGAGCTGTTTTACTTACATGATTAAACTGTACGTTACCGCCGTTGATAGTGTCAGCCTCGGCCTCACTATCTTCGGTTTTCTTAATTACCGTTGGTGATTTTGAAATTTTACGTTTCTTTTTAGCTCTACTTAATTCTTCCTTTG